TACTTAAATCTTTTGAAGCCACATTTTCAGTTGTGTAAAACCACATTTGTTTACTTATTTAACCCTATGACAGCATGTCAGTGATATTTGACTGTTTCTTTTGTTCCAAGCTGACCATTTTTCTGTTGCGTGGCACTCAAGAACCACTAATGAGCAGCTATATCTTGAACATAGGTTTGATGCATCATCTGCTCATATAGTACATCGCTTGGCAGACAAAAGATAAATGTTCTCGTCCCTGCCAGAACATAATAACCACCTGCTTTCTGTGTGTACTTAATTTTATTCTAGTCATGAAAAAATGCCTGTAATGGGTGTGCTTTTTGCTAGGCTGAAGCGAAATCCAAAGAAATTTCCAAGAAGAGAGAGGTGTGCAAAATACTCCAAATGAGTCCATGAGTGTAAGTGTTGCTAAGCACCGCTGGCCCCTTAGCGACAGGCACCGGCCGTGTTACTGGGGAAACGTACCGCCAAAGGCCTTTTTTACACAATGCCCAAGTTCTGAACCAGGCTCTTGATGGAGAGGGCCCTCACAAAGAACCCCATTATCCTCGATGCAGGGTAGCGGAAGCTTTTTGAATAAAAACACTTGCATGTTATTTTTGTCAGGCATTTTGAACCACCTCACCCTCATTATTCTATTATTCTCATCAAGTGCTCAATCAGGCATTAGCCGTTTTGTACCATACTACCGAGAGGAACGTGTTTTAACGATCACCTGGGTTGCATGGGTTGAACAGTTTGAGCCTGACTACGGCCAAAAAAGTTTTTCAGGTAATTTCAGTTACTTATTCATGGCATTTCAGTGTAGTCACAGGCTTGCTTCTTTAAACTCTAAACGCTATTAGGTTGCCGTGCTGAAGCAGGTGGGCCTTATTAAAATAAATTAATCAACTAATGCGGTGATCAATCCACTGTATATGTCCCAGGCGTAATGTATCGCATTAACTGCACCCTGAGCGTTTTTCCATGTATTAAGAGGCTCAGCTGCACTAGAACCTCCAAATGAAGAAATCCCTCCTAGAGTGATGCACCAGATAAATGCTTTAGGTCAGCGTGCTCAGCTCATTTATGGTGAAACGTGTTGCTTGTGCATCCATGTGACCGCCTTTCCTTATCCTCCTTGCTTTAGGAGAACCGCTCATACCATTATTTATTTCCAGTGGCTCTCAACCAAACCAAATCACATCATAGTTGGACTGACAGAAGCTATATCTTTTATCATAACCCAGAATTCCCCTCTCCCAACCTAGAAATTAGCCCATGACGCAACATTCGGTGAAGTGAATTATATGCTGTTATTACTGGACTGTCGTTAGTAATGGGATAGCTATGATTCAATAATTAGGTTACCGTAAAGTAATGCCGCACACACAGCAGGCTCATTCTGCTCATACCATTGATGCCGTTGTGTCTTTTTTTGTGCTGAGTCTGGTCCAATTTGTAACTTAATTAAATGTACAGGTCCTCTAACATTAAGTTATATTGATTTTCATTCTGTCACTCGAAGGAGACGCCATTGACAGGTCAACTGGAGCCGAGCGTATCCAGAGAGATGAGGTCTATGAAAACATCTTTTAAACAATAAAATCCTATTAAAGACTAAATACTTAGTTCCACCGAATTCCACTTGAATTAATTGCAATCACTTCATTTCAAGAGAAGGCTGCTTTTCGAGAAGCAGCATTTTCCCCCTGAGTCAATATCTCTGGTTATTCATCATAGCTGCTGCCATAAACGGTAGCACCGTATTAACTTAGCTCCAATAAGTGGATTATTTAGCACACCAATTTTTAAGAGTGGTCTCTTTAAAAACCCACGTGCCGCTAGCAGATATTATAACCTTTGATTAAACGTGTAAACGGGATTGAAATGTACCCCAAGGATGTGTACAAAGCTAAATTAAAATGAAGGAAATGGCCTTTATTCCTGTGATAGCACCCGTCCTGGGTTGTGTTTTTCGCATTCGGGGCTGCTGATAAATTGAGGACGGTTTTAGAGGTAAGATTACCTTGCTGTCGTTTGCCAGTCATTTTCAGTGAGGCCTCTGACAGAACCAGGCCAGGCTGTCTACACATAACACGCTGCGATACAGTGGGAAGACAAGCTGGAGGAAAATCAATTCACTACTGGCAGAGATAAGCGGTATTGTATGGGCAAACACAAAGGCTTCCACCCATTTACACACGCAGGCTAATCTCCTCAAAGCAAACCTTTCAACGCAGGAGAAGCAATAGACAAGAAAACACATCAATTTCATGGCAAAAATGTAAAAAAAATATATATA